CCCGCCCCCAGTGTCCTTCTTACCGGCTCGCTCCTCGCTCTCCCTGCTCCTCCTCCCGCAAACGGGACTCCCAGCCCAGTCCCACAATGCACCAGGCGCGCCGGGCTCCCTCAGCGCCGCCTGAATGGAAATGCCGCTGCCGGGGCGCAGCTAGTGCAGGGTGCTTCCCCCACTGTCGCCACCTCTGGCAGCGTGGGGGGCGCTTCCCCCCAGCAGACCAGGGAGACGCGGAGCTAGCGCCCCCCCACCCCCAGCAGACCAGGGAGACGTGGAGCAGCTTTTCTCGCCACGGAGGACGCGGGCGGCGGTCCCGCCGCCCGCGTCCTCCGCGGTGAGAAAAGCCGCTCCATGTCTCCCTGGTCTGCTGGGGGGAAGCGCCCCCCACGCTGCCGGAGGCAGAGCCAGCGGGGGAGGTGCCCCGCACTAGCTGCGGGCCCCCCCGTTCGTAATTAGGGGTCCGACTTAAGTTGGACTGACGTAACCCGGGGACTGCCTGTACATCCTTTCCAGGAGTGGCTGTAGCTATAAACTTGTCTTCTAAGATCAGTGGTAGCAAAGCATTGATTTAAATTTGGTTCAGGACAAGTCCATTCACATGTTTGCTCCTGAATCTTCAAAACAAGTACAGACTTTCTTCACACTGGGGTTATGTCTGCACTACAAGCTTTTTGCACAAAAACATCCATTTTTGCACAAAAATCGGGAGAGCGTCCACATCTCAAGCGTGTTTTTGCGCACACAAAAAATACAGTAAATCGACAGGACAGCAGGCTTTTGCTAGTAGAGTTATTCCTCTCCCCACGAGAGAGGAATAACTCCGTTTTGCACTACAGCTCTTGCACAAAAAGGCATGTGTGGACACTCTGCAGGGGTTTCTTGTGCAAGAAGAGCCTATCAGAAAAAGCACAGGTGCTCTGATGGCCATTCTGTGAATGGCAGCCAGAGTTTTCTTGCACAAGAGCGTCCGTGCAGTTTGAACGCTCTCTTGTGAAAAAACATATCGCTTTTGCGATGCGCTTTGAGATGTGGATGCGCTTTTGCGCAAGAAGTTTTGAGGAAGATGCTCAAAAACGCTGCAGTGTAGACAAAGCTTGGGATTTCAGTCACGGGATAGTTGAAGTGATGCAACCCCTTAGTGTTGTCAAGGCTTATACTTACGTAGCATGATTTGGAGAAGCACATCTTTTTTCACCCAGCAGGGCAAATAAACAAAATTGTTACACATTGAATCTATACTAGGGTTCAGATGCTGTGCTGTGCTTCAGCTGACAGCCAGGGGAAGAAGAGAAACTGTGGTGGCTTTCAGCCATGCTCATGTCCTGCCAGTCCCAGGCTCTTCCTTAGCCTTTGGTGTACCTGAGCCTTAGGGGATAGTGTCAGTGCTTGTGAGTGCTGCTCCATGGGCCATTGCACTGCCTGGAACTCTTGCAGTGCAGTTCCTGCTGCCCCAACATGCCCTATGGCTAGGCTCCCTATGTTAGGGCTTGCAGGGGTTGAGGAGTCCTCAGAAGGCAGACGTACAGTGTCTTGCACAATGCCCAAGCCAGGAGAATCTTCTCCAGGCCAGACCTGGGGCTTACAGAGCCACTTCATGCTCATTCAGCCCTCCCCAGAGAACTGGGATTGTAGTAGGAGTAAGAGTTTCACCCTAGGAATTTGTACTGGGGCAGCTATTCAGAGGCAGGTAGTGGTTTTAAGCCCGGTGTAGATACATTTATTAAATATGGACCCCCAATGGACCCCAAATATATATTTTGCTATCTTTTCAGTTTACTTTTTTATTTAATTAAACTACATTTCACTCAAAATAGCAAAACAAAACATTTGAACCTCATTGCAATGAATACATATGGAAACAGCTTTTGAATACTCTTTTGCTTGTTGATCTTTGGCATTATTTAAATCACTGAAGAAGATATTGAACAGAACCAGACCCTAAACTGATCCTTACAGAACCCTACTCATCATTCCCATCCAACTTGACTATGAACCACTGATATCTACTTTCTGAGAATGGTTTTCCAACCAGCTATGTGCCCATCTGTTAGTAGCTCCATCTAGGATGTATTTTCCTACTTTGTTTTTGAGATGGTCATGTGAGACAGTCTCAGAAGACTTATTATAGTCAAGATATATCACATCAACCACTTCTTGATAACATGTCAAATAAAGCTATTGGCTGTTAAAGCTGTGACAGCCAAGTAATATTCGTGAGTGCACAGAAAACTCATATCCCCCTTAGGCAGAAACCTCACTAGACACTGGAGGAATAGACTGTGTTTTGTGAATTTAGTCCCTTTTTTGTTTCTCCAAGTGCCCCCTACACATGAAATATTCTTCCTGATCATCTATGCCATACGACCTCTTTGCTCTTTCATCCCCCTACTCTTACAACCCAACTTTTCCCACAATACGTTAAACAATGATCCTCTCATTAATAAAATAAGAAGTGTAATTCTAAAAGACTTGCTCTTTAACGCCTCAGAGAAGAATAAAATACAGGACTATGTAGCACTTTAAAGACTAACAAGATGGTTTATTAGATAATGAGCTTTCGTGGGCCAGACCCACTTCCTCAGATCAAATAGTGGAAGAAAATAGTCACAACCATATATACCAAAGGATACAATAAAAAAAAAAGTGAACACATATGAAAAGGACAAATCACATTTCAGAACAGAAAGGAGGATACGGGGGGGAGGGGGCGAAGGAAGGTAAATGTCTGTGAGTTAATAATATTAGAAGTGGGGAAAGGTAGATGTCTGTGAGCTAATGGTATTAGAGGTGATAATTGGGGAAGCTATCTTTGTAAAGCGTAAGTGCTACATAGTCCCGTATTTTGTTTCAGCTACACCAGACTAACACGGCTACATTTCTATCACTATTCAGAGAAGAATAGAGAGTATTGGTGAAAATGAGAGTCAGACCCAAATGATCACATAAATATAAATATGTCAGATTCTTCAAACAAAAAACTGATAAGAGTTTGTAGTGAACTGATTTTGGACACATTCTGCTGTAGACTGCTGAAATGCACATAATGAAGGCTTTGTTTCAGGAGAAAAAACACATGTACATGAAGTGATTAGAGGCAAACTTGGGAAACTTGACAGTTTGAGAAGTATAGTTTCTTCCAGTCTTTACATAAACTATGCAAATTTTAATGACATTAGCCATGCAAATGATATAACCCATGCAAATTTTAATGACATTTGTATACTCAGTCCTTTATTTACTAAGTTGAACGTGTGTACACACACACACACACACACTCACTTTTCAAATTATTAACAAATATTTGTATGTACTGTGACTAATGTGAAAGGTAGAGCAATATGATGTGATGGCAGTCCTCCTGATGTGGCATTTGTTTGGTACCACAAATGCATTTTACTAGTGCGTACAGAAAGCAAATAAAACATTGCATGACCCAAAATGACTTTGTCACATTTCCCAGAACCCTCTATTCCAATTCTCTCTTTAAATAGTAATAAAGAAATCTCGACTTTCTGATTTAGGGAAAATCATTTAGTAGGAACAAAGCTGCATATATAATCATGCATTGCTTGTTCACATAAAACTCCCAGGGGGTGCGTCTACACTGCACCTTAGCTCGAAAAAACCTCTGCAATTTGAGCTATGCAAATTACATAAACTATTTATAAATTAACAAAATAATCTATTTCATAATTTGGCGCTGTCTACACAGCACCAAATTTCGAAATAAACCGCTATGCCAATACATCTCTTAATCCTTGTGGAATGATGTTTACGGGGTCGTTGGAATAGTGAGCCTGTTATGGGCACTTATGGGCTTGTTTCAAAGACATGGAATAGCTATTTCGGGATACTGGAACTACCCCCTTGGCTGTAATGGAAATAGTGTCTATTTGCAGAGTGTAGGTCCAGCTCCTGGGAGCTGGAATAGTATTAGAGACCTAATATTAATAGACAGGCAAAGTCCCTAGTTCAGTCACGTTAGCCAGAGTTAAAGATGCTTCCACCAACACATTTGTGCACCCCATCTAAAAGATGGCCCTGTCGTGAAGATGGTGTTAAATTGTTGTACCTCTTTTAAGAAGCACATGGGGATGATTTAGGAGATGAGAAAAATGAAGTGATGATTTTGTCATCTTTCTACTTTTTCTTAAAACTTAAATGGGGGTCAGGCTGATATTTCCAGACAGCTTTATGCACTCAGTGCTTCATCCAAAGCCCAGAGGAGTCAATGGAAAGACAACCATTGACTTCAGTCACTTTTGGCTCAAGCCCTCATTTTCTTTCTATAGTTAAAAGATGGATTATTTATCTCTCAGTGTGATACTCTGAGTGTAGTCCAAGATTTATAAGCTGTTTGAGAGAGAAAATGGCCATTGATGATCCTTAATAATTATATATTATTGTTTCCCTTTCACTAGGTTGGAAAAATCCGAAAGAATGCTGCCCGTAAAAGGGAATACCATGTCCTCTTCATGGTGATTACTACAGTAATCTGTTATCTAATATGCTGGATGCCTTACGGAGTTATAGCACTGATTGCGACATTTGGTAGTCCAGGTGCAGTTTCTCCAATAGCATATGTCATACCTTCTATCCTGGCAAAGAGCAGCACTGTATGCAATCCAATTATCTACATACTTATGAACAAGCAGGTAAGGAATGCTGCTGTAATTACTTATTCACTACTGATTAACACTCTTTTTAAATGGCTCATTTGTTATTACACGATCAAAACGAAAAGGACACTTCATGCCTGGTTGACCTCAGGGCTTAAAATAGTTTGGACTCATTTAAAGGGATTTCATGCCCAGTAACTGTACTGATTGACTTTAAATTGATCTTATGTGGTTATCATTGCTCTCTACTCATTCCAACTATCTGACAGTCCTACATGGCAGCTGTCATCTTATTCTTTATCTTCAAATGGGGATAACTCATATCCAGATCTGTAAAGTGCTCCTTCTATTAAAGGTACAAAGTATTACTATTTTGGCACCTCTCAGGTACAGTAACAAACACAATAAAATGGTCGTGGAGTTTTGCATGTTCTAGTAAATTATTCAGAGAGCTGCATCTTTGTGCTAGTGCCAGTTTACTGCCTTGTGGAAACAGATGAGCAATACATTAAATTGGGGATGACTGGTTGAAGTCCCTACTAAACCTAGACAGGACAGAGTAAGTATGCAGGAGAAATTGCATTCGGCACCGAGAGATTGGTTCTTCAGTAAGAAGACATGGAGTAGACGGAGGAAGCCACCATCAGCAGAGATGTTCAAAAATTGGCTGGATGAAAGACACACAAATTTTTTTTCTGTAGAGAACAGTACTGTAGAAACCCAAGGGATAAATTAGATCCTCCTGCAGATGCTTTCTAGCCACTTCATTTAGAATTAAGAAAATCTGGAGACATTCTTGATATTGAAAAATCACGAATCAATTACTATAAATTTTAAACATACATTGAAATAATTAATTTTAAAAGTTTAATGTGGTTTATAACAACATCCTTTTTGATACAATAACTGTTAAAATTACTGTGGAATTTTACCTCCAGTCCAATATATTATCAGCATATTTAGATATAACAAAACAAATAGCAGCTTTGGATTCTTTATTATATTTACTAAGAATATATTATATTCTTTATTCTGCTGGGACCTACTATTAATATTATTTTCAGCAGTATTATGCTCAGCTTAGATATGGAAAAATCTAGGTGTAGTAAAGGCTTCAGGCCTGGGGGAGGGATGTAAGAGGGGGTGCAGGGTCTGGGATAGAGTTATGGGGTGGCAGAGGCAGGTTTTGGCCAGGAGTCGATTACCCAAGCAGCTCTTGGCCAATAACACTCTCAGGCAGGCTTTCCTGCCTGCCATCAGCCCCAGACCGCTCAAAGCAGATAGCTGTTCCATGGGTCTCTCTGTGCTGTAGGGTGTGGGGGCAAGGTGGCTTCACACACTGCTCCCGCCTACAGCAAAATCTCTCAACTCCCATTGGCTGGAAACTGGCCAATGGGAGCTGAGAAATTGTGCTCCACTGCCCCCACCTCTGCAAAGTCTCTCAAGCTCCCATTGGCTGATTTCTGGTCAATAGATTTTTCTGGAGCCAGGGATAGCATGCCTAGCTTCCTTCCTCCCTTTCCCCACAGCACAGACCATAGTCAGTCAGCAGCTGATGCTCTCCTGTGAACTCTACCTGCGCTTCTTATGCCAATGGAGTGCTAGAGTCAATGGGAGAGTGCTTGGTGATCCATTAATCATGTCTATACTAGAAACGATAAATTGACTCCTGCTGGATCCATCGCTGCCCATTGATGAGTTCTCCCCTGCAACTAGTCCAGTTCACTTCTTTGTTGTGAAAAAACAGTGGAGACAGCAATGAAGCCACCCCCTTATGCCCAACTGCCCAACGGTTTGAACACTCAAGAGGTAGGAAAACAGATCAGACCCCACAGGTGAGGACAGGAGAACATCTACTGGGACTTCAATGTGAACTACACACCAAGCTTCTCAGTGAGGCAGCTCAGTGCAGTTTCCGGATTTAGGCACATGCCTATCAGCAGAAATGTAGGTGCCTAGAGGGCCTTTACTAGTGGAACTGTAAGTGCTTGGGGATTTTAGGTCCCTACTTTAGGAGTAGGACACAGTGAACAGGGTTTTTGTGAATGCCAAGATGCCTGAACTTTGACCTCCCCTTCCCAAATTCTGTAGCCCATATTGCCATTTTTCAACTCCCATGCCATTTACCAAGTTGAGTCAGAAGTAAAATAGGGTGAATTTTTCTCTCAGAATTAAAAACATTGAGGATAAAGACTAACAAATGTATTTGGACATAAGCTTTCGTGGGTGGCGCTCACTTCGTCAGATGCATGTGACAAAAGTGCATAGACTAACATGGCCACCCCTCTGCAACTTCTCTCAGAATTGTGGAACTTAAGTGTGTTTAGTAAACATAAAAGTAGAAGATCAAAGCAAAGACAACTTTTTACCTTTTCCCACAATAGGAACACACTGATTCGCTGGGTCATGGACCATCATAACAACGCAATTACTCTTGTTCTAATGTTGTCTGCAATTTTGGCAGCTAAGAAGCAAATGTCAGTGCATTTCTCATGTTGTCATGGTTCCAAATCAGGAATTTTCCTTTCAGTATTAATATCTGAAGAGTTTGTGAGTGCCATATACTTCATATTACTGTAATTTAAACAAAATTAAACTCCTGTCAGTAAATTGTTTAAAGCTCCGTAGAACCTCTTGCTTGGATGCCTGTGTAAAGATCACAAGCTGCATCCTCTGCTGATGTTAAGTACCATAAACTACATTGCAATGAAGCTGTGTCTAATTAGTTAGTTCAAGAGTTATTCCTAACTGTTCACGGTTTCAAATTCTGCCCCGAAACGATATCCACTAAGTCTTGCACGGCCAATCCTGCACTGTGAGAAATCATACTGTGATTATCAATGAATTTTTCCTGGTTGTGTTAAAATAAGTACACTTATTAAAAAAAAAAAAAGCTAACTTTAATTTTTCAAAAAACGAGGAGAAAGAAGTGATCCTTAAAAGACTAGGCATGTCACTTAAAAAAGTTTTAATACAGTGACCATTCAACCCTCCTCATACAACAGAGGAGGGACAATATCTTGGGAAAATAGAAGTGAACTCATCAAACTGCAGACTCCCGTTGTCTTCAGTGAACATTGGAGCAGGCCCATAATTCATTGGAAATTGCCTGTAGACAAGACCTGGGTCTAAATTTGTGCAAGCCTTATGCTGGTGAGCACCTATTCATGCAAAGAATCCCATTGCCTGCAACAGGACTGCTCACATGAATAATTAGCTCAGTGGTGTGAATAAAGGTTGCTCAGTGGGATGTGTTTAGGAACAAGCTGCAGGGAGGTTGTGGGCTTGTGTACACTTGAAAATGGCTGGAGGTTAATTTGAATTGTTTCCTGATAAAGCTTCTTGCAACATTTGTTGTTTGGAATCATCTGGCATTTTAACCTGCATCAATAAGGCCACTTTGGAAACAGATTTACAAGATATAGAAGGAATTATTTGAAACCAAATAGGTGCAGGTGCATCCATATCCTGAAACAACTGTTCCACATCTATATGGCAGCCTTCCCACGGTGGGCTACCTGTGTTGGCTTCTCTGTGTGCCTTCTCCTGCTCCGGAGTCATCTTCACTGGCTGTCACCTCCCTGTTTAAATGCTGGCAGTCGCTATTTGTTTCAACAGCCTCCATGTTGAAAATGGGCCAATTCTCATTTTTTCTAATTTGTACAAAATGATCTTCTAGTTCACTATATTTCAGTGCAGTTCAAAAACATTTCTCTAGTTTTCTCTCGACTGCCCACCCACGTTTGTAGCTTTCTAGAGCTGGTAGGTAAACAGAAGAGAAGAGAGTTCCAGGGTTTCCGTATCCTGAAAAAGTTGGACAATTGTTCCAGGGAAAAAGAGGTTATTATAACAAACAGGTTATTGTAGCAATAGTGGCTATGGAAGTCTTAGATTAAAAGCAGTTTGCAGAGAACCTGATTCTCTTATGCAAGCAAAACTGTAAGTCAAACTGTACAGAAATGCACAAGACACACAAACTTTTTGGACTGTACCAAGCTTTGGAACCTACCACCCGTACACAGGGAGGTTAATAGAAATCTTTGTCTGCACTTTTTTTTTTCTGGGGGAACCAGAAAACCAAGGACAGCAATACATCATTATTTAGTATTTAAAGTGATGTGTAATATGATCTTGTTGTTTAATATTCACATAGCACTAGGTCTGCCTAGGAGGGCTTTCCAAAATTAAGAAGAGATAGCCTCTGCCCCCAAGAGAATGCAGTGCAAACCAAAGGAAATGATTGCGTCTGACTAAGCCAGTAGGGAAAAAAGGTTGAATGATTATTATAACAAAGTTAATATGATTTCAACTATATTGTATATGTGCCTTGTAAATGCCAGGAGGTGGAGGAGGGTTCTTTTGGGAGAAGGTAGCGAGAGAGGAGAACCTGAAGGCCCTGGAGTGGAGGTCATCAGTGAAAAGCTATGGAAAGGAGTGGGTATTGAAGAGGGATTTGGGATGACCATGGAAGATGGTCTTGTGATTTAAGGTACCCTAGACAATGAGATATTTGTTCTGTTCCTGGATCTGCCACAAATTCTGCCTCCTTGGGAGAAGCCAATACAGTAAAACCTGTGTTATCCGGCACACTCGGGAATTAGGGCATTCCTATTATCTAAAAATTCTGGTTATCTGAGGGTCCCATCAACCTAGGAAAAACCAATAGACAGCAATAGTAAAACTTAAGGTTTTAATATTGGTAGATTTTAGTGTGAGGCAGTTGGTTTCACATTTCTATTTTGAGTTAAAGATGATTAGTACTTCTTAAATAAAAAATTAAGCCAATCACGGTAAACCAAGCCAGGCCTGTGCACCTGAAGATGTGACAGTATTGTGGCTAGGGGCAATGCCAGTTAACAACGTTTTCTGGTTAACAGAGTGCCGGATAACAAAGGTTTTACTGTATTTTCAAAAGCTCAGTGAGATATAAATGAGTATGTATGCATCCCGGCTGCACTGACTTGTACTACATTTGAAAATGAGCTAAATGTAGAAATGTGTGCTGATTCAGAGACTATGTCAAATGTATTCATATA